TGGAACTAATCAGATGGTTAGGAACTTCCATTACCTCTTCTATCTCTACCTCTCCATTACCTCTTCTATCTCTATCTCTTCTACCTCTTCTAGTTATTTTTTATAAGAGAATCGATTGTTATACTATTTAATGATACCGCTTTTATACTTGAACTTAATTAAAGCCTGAGAAGCTACGCCATCGGTTCGCAAATGTACAGCAGGAGACTTTGTAATGAGAAGAACCGGCAAGAAATTCAGCAAGGGCTGCTTTTTTCTAGTGTGGTTTTAGTCGAAAAATTACTTCAGACATAATTAATGAATTCCTTACATTACATAATTTAAAACATACAATTATTAAACAAGTATTCGAACATTATTGTAAGTATAGGAAGCGGCTTCACTTACCATATTATTGTTAAAAAGTATGCCTAATACCTGTTACATTACAAATAACAAGAAAGGTTATAATGTCCATGCGTTACGATCATTAAGATAATCATCAACATAGCCTTTACTCATAAGAATATTCTTGATGTGAGATTGATATTTGGTCAGAGGAAGCATCAAATCTTGGGGAACTTTATCGAACAGTTCAATACTCAAGTACTACCTACCTACTACCTCTTGATTTTTTGAGCCTAAAATCGCGTGTGTAAAGTCATGGGTTTGACTTTTTTTTTGCAAATGCGTCATAGTTTTTGTCCTAATCGAATTATAATATTCATAATTCTATGGCTTATGGGACGAGTTGCAGAATTTCCAGCAGTCTTTACGTAACAACGTACTCAACGAACGAAACGTAGAGAAACTTTAATACCTAGCAAACCTTTTTCAGGCGCCGAAACCTAAAAAATATTCTAAACACGTACGCAAGTAGCATTTATAGCAAGAAATAGAAAACTAAATCGCTCTTTTCACGGCTCAGTGGTTGGTGGGTATTATTTGGCGGTAGTATTATAAAATGTAACAAGCTGCATTGTCGCACGTGCCTATATGTACGGTTAGCCTTCGACATGTCCTAGATCATACGTGAGTGGCTGACAAAAACTCTCCGAGCGCCGCTCTGGTGTGGCTCAGGAATGTCGCACGACCGCGCCGATCACGCCGCTGCACCGCTGCCGTGCCTAAGCTGACAACCTGATATCCTTACAGTTTATTTTGAGCTGATTTTTTGAGTGTATTCATTAGTACCTGCATCTCTTATCTATTAGACAAGTCCGTCTGTCTGTGGTGCTGTTTCAGCGGCCAAACCGTAAGAGATAGATAAAGAGAATATTTAAGTTATAAGTTAAGAATAGTCTGATAAGACTACAAACCGGATTTGAGTAACGTAGCACTTCCAGTTTTCGAGAAATCACGTGATTTCTATATCTTGGAAACGATAAGAGATAGATAATACATACATTTTTTAAATCAGGTTTTGGTGAATATTTGGTTCACTGGTTTGCTAGTATATTTTAATCTTTATGAATCAATATGTAAAGTATAAAATAAAATATAAATAGAGGAGCTCGATGGCGCAAGTGGTTAGCGCGTTCGGCTGCGATCGTTGAAGTTAAGCAACTTTCGCAGTGGTCGGTTATTGGATCGGTAACCACAAATTAACTATCTCTGCGGCTGCATCTGCAGTCGTTAGCATCCATCAATCGGCACTGGGCCCGCGTGGTGGGTCATGGCCCAATCTCCCTATTCCATCCATAGGGAAGGCCTGTGCCCCAGCATTGGGGACATTAATAGGCTGATGATGATGTAAAGTAAATTTAAAGACAAATTAATTAACATTTGGAGTCGCTGCCATGCGTGTTGAAAGATCTGGGTAACCATTTACTGCTTGGGTTGGCATAGGACCGACACCGAATGTTAATTTAATCAAACATAGTGCAGCATCAAATTTTCGTGCGTTTCTACTACTTCTTCCGCCCCTTAAAGCCCGTTTTTTCTTTGTAACAAAAACATATTTATTGTATTTCTATGGTTACATTCTTAATGGCGGAACTAGAAAAGCACAGCACAGGTGGTTTGCGTGACGCATTTTACGTAACATTTCAATTTAAAAATTCCCATCTACATGGAACCAACAGCTAAGGCATGCAAATACAGGGGTCTAGGCTCCGAATATGATTTTGTCCCATTCGGTGTCGAGACCCTTGGTCCGTGGGGTCCTAGCGCTGTAAGGCTTTTTAAGGAAATAGCAAAAAGGTTAGTCGACATCACAGGCGACCGAAGAGCTGGCAGCTACTTCGGACAAAGAATTAGTCAAGCTATTCAAAGGGGGAACGCTGCCAGTATCTTTGGAACCTTGCCTAAAGGGACTCCTTTTAATAATGTATTTTAGTTATTATATATTTTAAGGTTTTTAGTTATAAATATCTTACTATTAGTTCTTCAGTTAAATTATTCAAGAAACGAATAAATAAAAAACAAACTAAAATATTAATTTAAAAAAGAAAAACATATTCTAAGAGAAACAGTAGATTCATGTAGAGAAAGAGAAGAGCAGGAGACATTTTAGAAAAACAGGAGATCTCCTGCAAAATTGGAAGACCTGGCAACCCTGATTTATATATTATTTTAGTAGTTAAGTAGGTTAAGGTAATTTGGATGGTAAATTTTAGTCTGAAGTAGTTTTTAAGATATTGTTATTCAAATGAATGTATTGTTTTTATAAATAAATATATTAACATATACTGTAGGTATAAGTAAATAATATGTACCTATTATTTTTTACTTTTTAGTGCTTTTGTCTTTTCTATGAAGACGGTTTTTATTATTGTTAATTACAACATGATTTTTTAATAACGATAGATGGAAAAGCAAACTGCTTATGGACACTTCCGTGAAGAGCTTTAGAAAATGCATCCAATCCATTTACGTTTTCATGATTGTATTTATGAGTTGGGCGGGGCGGTTACGTACTTTGTGCAAGAACTTACCAAAGTAATAAAAAGTTATAATAAGCCCTCGGGTTAATTTATCAACCGTGAAAGAAATGTTATCGTCAAATTAAGAGTTAGAGATGCTATAAAGAGATCAGTAACTTTTTGTAGGCTTAGCTGCCCATTCCCAACAAAAAGTTACTGATATAAGAGTGTCAAATAAAATATCTCCCTCTACTTTATTAATTGTAGGTTAGTTTTTGCTGTCGCAGTCACCTATTGGACTGAGCCCTGCCTGATCTCTGACTAAGGCCCGTATTATAATAAGATTCTCAGTGATTGATCTAGTTTTGAGCATAGTTAGAAAGGGATGTCGCTATATATAGCACTTAGCGATATCCCTTTCTAAGTATACTCAAGTAAAGGTCAACATTTAGTTGTCAATCTGTAATATTCAATTCAATTCAATTTATTGCACTCATGTGGTTACATGGATGGTTACAAGTTACATAATGCATAAAGTACCCAACATGAACCCTGTCAGGGTATCGCAATATAGATAAAAATTACAAAAGAGAATTTAACAAATAAACAATTATCTATATGAAGAACCTAATTTTTATTAAACAACTTTTTTTTCTCAAAGCATGCATAAATGTCATCTGATTTCATTAATTTTATAACTCACTCAATTGATCTTATTTACAGTACTAGTTTAATTTTGTAATTATTATTATGGATATTCGTTTATAAAATTAAATTTGTCAATAATTAAAATTAGTAAATATGTCAATAAAAATCAAATAATATGTCAATAAATATATAAATATATTTTCAATTTTGTCCTAAATTGGTTTAAATGTTTTTCGTTTTTTATGTCAGCGGGTAATTTATTATAAATTTTTATACACATATAATATGGACTGCTACTAAGTTTTCTCAATCGAGATGGTGGTAAATATAATCGACTTTTGTGCCTGATAATACGTGCCTGAGATTCGAAATATTGAGGTAAAAGAATATAAAGTAACTAGTTACTGGTTATTGTGGCTCATATTCGTCTGGATTTAAATGCTAATCACACTATATAATATTATAAAGGTGAAATTTACTTCTTCTCGTCTAAGCGGCTGGGGAGATTTTAAAAAATCTGGTACGGAGCTGACACCCAGGATTAACACATAGGCTACGTTTTTCTGTAGGTAAATATCCCTAATAAGGCGCGGGTAACACCGCGGAGCACAGCTAGTTTTAGATAAAATTCGACTCAAATATTTGAACTTTGAATGATCATCATAATATTCTCGCTAGAAATATACAGGGTGTTACAAAAATACAAATAAAGCTTGAAGGGCGTTGAAGTACATCATACAAGGAGTCTTCTCTAATTTTCTTAAAATATTTGCATGAAGTTTAACTTTTTATAAAAACAGTTATTGTTAATGATCCTCGAACTAGTGACGTGTCTTAAAATGATCGATATTTTTATTAATCATTAAAAATAACTATTTTTATAAAAAGTTAAAACTTCATGCAACTATTTTAAGAAAATTAGAGAAGACTCCATATATGATGTACTTCAACGCCCTTCAAGCTTTATTTGTATTTTTGTAACACCTATAGATCTCCGGACCGATGGCGTAGATTTTCGACCTTTACAAGTGCTTGTAACAGCCTAGACTGAATCAATGATTTTTGATTTTGATTCGAAACCATGATGTGAGATGCGAATTAAAGATGTCATGAGGAAAAACGAAAATGTTGTTGGTCGATAGCGCTTAAAGAAGACTTATGCTGTATTGACCTTGGGACTACTGAATCCTAAAGGGTCAACCTCAAGTTAAATTAGGATTTAGCATAACTACATGTATAAACATTATTGCTACATGTGTTAACTGTTAAATAATAAAATATCAACTAGACAATACACTACGACTGATACATCATAAACACTAAACCGACTCAAAGTGTCCTCGAAAATTTGCAACAATAATAGAAAAAATCACGGAAATCGAAACCAACCCGGGTTACATCGTTGAGGTTACGTAAACTGTATGCTTAATTACTAGTCGCATACAACAACGTAAGGTCGTAGAAAGTGAATCGGCTCGTGTGAACCGTCAAAAAAAGCCCGCCATCTTAGCAGTCTGTGGCGCGCAGTAAGCGCGAATCGACGTTTCCCGCCGAAACGACAGCGATTTGAACTTCGAACGTTTTTTTTATTTTTTAAAACTTTTTATTCTCCGCGCGTGGCTACCGGCTAGTGAGTCTTTTTTTTAAGTGAAGCCAATAAAATCTATTTTTTATCGAATTAGTGTTGTGAATATGTGATAAACGTTGTGATCGATTAAAGAGACTGTCGAAGGATTCTTTGTTTATTTAATGTTTAATTTATGAAATGGGGGTTTCCAGAGGAAGGAATATTTTCAACATACTTATGAAAATGGTAAGTTAAATCCTTAAAACAATACCGTATAAAGGAAACCTTACAACGCTTCCTTAACTTTTAATTTTAAACTTAAAATGTGTTTATTATTAATTAAAATATCTGAGCTTTTTATAGCAATAAAGTCTTAATTGAGATAGCATACATAATCGAATAAAATTATATTAGTATTCTTCAAGGCTGACGAAAGTTTTGCGAATCCGGATTCGTTGGATAACAGACTGGTTAATTTAATCTGTCCATAATCGAGTTTTCGGATTCCAATTTTCTCTCGATTAGTTTTGTGATGATTTCTCTGATTATGCAAAATTGCTATACTCGCGTCTATTCAATGTCAGTATTATAGTAAAATAACACTTCGTTATAGCTTCATAATGTTAATGATACCTTATTTTGATAAATATATTTACGAATATAATTACAATAATTGTTCATACTTTTTAATAACTAGAGGCCACGGAATAGGCTGTAAGGTGTTACTAAAAACTACTTTCGTGATAATGAACTATTTCGATATAGGTAGTCAACTTTTAAAACTTTTTGCTTTCGTGTCAGATTGTTTGGATTGCGATAAATTATGAGTGTTACGATTACGAGCGAGTTGGTCAGTGTGCAATGCAATTATTCGGCGTTTCAGGGGTAACCGAATTGATTTCACGTTGCATCACTTGATCTGGGACGGGGTAGGCCAATGAAAATTGCTCCTTGGCCAACAAAAATAATTTGAGGTATTGTCACATTATAGATTACCTATTTTCTGAATCGGTAAAATGAACACGGAAGAAAATACTTTTAAGTATGGAATATTGGTATCTTGCCACGAGACTGGCGAAATTTCTGCGTTATACTGAACAAGGCGTTTAAATATTGGCATAGCTAGAGTTTTTTAAGGGGACGGAAAAAAATTTGTTCGTCATAGAAATTTTCATCCCAAAAATTTTCTTTAAATTAAAACATACAGCAGATAAATGCTTAAAAAACATAACTACAATTTTCATCCCCCTTTTTATCCCTTTAAATGATGTTTTCCGGGATAAAAACTATCCTATGTCCTTTCCCGGAACAAACTACATATTTCTGTACCAAATTTCATCTAAATCAGTTCAGTGGCCTAAGCGTGAAGAGGTAACAGACAGAAGCTTTCGCATTTATATTAATATGGATAGTGTTGTCTGTACGAGTTTAGTGTTTGTGCCGCGTTGTCCTTGGCGCCCTCGCACATTCCCTCGCGAGATTCCGGCTCTTCTCGCCACAGACAGCTTTGCATTCTACTCTGATGTGTCATATACTACGAACATTGAATGACTGAAACTTTAAAGTGTATTTATTAGTCTTGTCTGGGGGTTCACCACGAACATTAAACTACCTAAACTTAGTTTAAACATAATATACACACGGCCGCAAAGAAACCGGGTCACCCGCTAGTACCATGGACTCTGATTCAATTTTCTGAAAGAGTATCTATATATATAAAACTCAAAGGTGACTGACTGACATAGTGATCTATCAACGCACAGCCCAAACCACTGGACGGATCGGGCTGAAATTTGGCATGCAGGTAGATGTTATGATGTAGGCATCCGCTAAGAAAGGATTTTGATCAATTCTACCCCCAGGGGGATAAAATAGGGAATGAAAGTTTGTATGAAACTTTGTCAATTTTAAACCGATCGGGCTGATACTTTGCATGCAGGTATAAGAAGAATCATAGATGAATGTCATTCTGTATAATACAAGCCTAAGAACAAAAACTGTAGTCTACACTTCAGCTCTACACCGAAGCGAAGCGAGGGCGGGCCGCTAGTAAAATTTAAAATTATTAAAGTTATACCTGCAGAAAGTGCGTTTCATGATGATTAAAATGAGTTAAATATTATTCAAAAGTACTGTCAACTTACTGTGTAATCAAGCAAGAAAAACAATGCTAAAGTTTTGCTAGTTTTTAAATAAAGTTGTGATAAAGTATTTTTTTATATATTGAAGATAGTCACACACTTCTTACTGGTAGAGAATGCCTATGGCATTAAGTCCGCCGTTTGCTTATGTGTTAAAATAAATTTCACACATAAGCCAACCGCAGACTTAATGCCATTGGAATTCTCTATCACTAAGAGTGGTTAAAAAAACAAATGTAATATAAATAGCGATAAGGCAAAGCTGCTAAAGAACAAAAAGAAACTTAACTTAAAACAAACAAAAAAAATACATAAAAATGCTAATATACATAAACAAACACATATATACCTAATTACCTTATTAAAGAACAATAAATATATGTATATAGATTTTTTTAATGATAAGTACATTTTTTTAGCACACACCAATTAGCCTAGCCCCAAAGTAAGCACTATAAGGCTTGTGTTATGGGATACTAGGGTAACGGATAGAATATATATACAGTACATATTTAACTATATTTATATAGAAATACATATTAAACATCCATGACTAGAGCACAAATGCTCGTATTCATCACAGATATATCAATTTATCAGTGCCATTGCAACTTGTACTTTATGGATTGTTATTTTGTGCGCGGCTATAAAAGAAACAAATATACGTCCATTATATTGAATGGTCATACAATTGGCGTTTTGTCTTCCGCTCCGCTACTTTACGTACTTTGTGCTATTACTATGTTCGAGAAAGTGAAAGTATCATATTTTAATCAACAACTTTGAAATAATTGCCGGATCGTCTGAAAAAAAGATTAGTGAATCGTACTGTATATTTTATATCAGTTGGGATTTGGAATTAGGGAAATATTGTAACTAATGTAGTTAACGCAATGGTTTGGCAAGCTATCACTGTTCCCTTCCCATTAAAATATCCAATGAAATTCAATAAATATTTAAATGATATTTCATATATATATATACAATGTGGATGTGTACAAACCACTGCGTCACTAGATACGTTTTTTTTAAATGGCTTCGCACGGCTAGTGCATTTAGCCAATGTTAAGTGTTAAAATGTTTAGAAATACTATAGCACTCATGGTCAAAGTAATAATTGAAGTCAAAGTAAGTGGCAGTCAAGTCAATCCCCCTTTCCCTATGTTTCAGTAAATGTGAGGGGATTTACTGGAACCTCCCCGTGTACTTCTTGAGGGAACGTCGAAAGACACTTTCGGCTATTTTGTTTCATTTGTCAACACTTGTGCATGTTCCCGATCACTTAGTGGTTAATAATCCACCATTATTAGACACTAACATCCGCCACAACACAATTTTTAACAAGAAAAACCAAACTGCTAAAGTGACGCTTCCCGATCCCGCCAAAAAGTCCACTAGATACGTTTAATAATAATGGCATGAACCAATGGCAAGAGGGACAATTTTTAAAACCAGATGAGCATCGTGGCATTCTATACAAAGAGTTCTAAACTACGCAACGAAAAGTTCCCTACCAGTTAAATAATTTTTCACGGAATGTTTATAATGATATAAAGAAGGTCATTGTGTATAATACATACTTGAGAACAAATAGTCTCCAGCTCTACACTGAAGCGAAGTGAGGGCGGGTCACTAGTACATTCATCATCATCATCAGCCTATTAATGCCCCCACTGCTGGGGCACAGGCCTTCCCTATGGATGGAATAGGGAGATTGGGCCGTGACCCACCACGCGGGCCCATGCCGATTGGTGGGTGCTAACGACTGCAGATGCAGCCGGGACCAACGGCTTAACGTGCTCGTGATAGTAAATTTTTGGTCACCCATCCTATGACCGACCACTGTGAAAGTTGCTTAACTTCAACGACCGCAGCCGAACGCGTTAACCAGTGGCGCCATCGAGCTCCTCACTAGTACATTAAATGTAAATAATTTAGCACGGCACATTCTTATTGTTCTACTGCTAAAGAAAAACTCTCTTGTATATACATCCCATTCAAAGAAAGTTATTAATGATCATAAACAAATCTGTTTGCTATGTGAACGGTCGCTTTTACGGCAGTAAATCATACAAACAGTGGGTATAATAATGTATACCTATTTACTGCTTGAAGCAACGCGCGCTCAATTCACAATACTCGCCCGTACAAAAGAGTTCAACGCGCATTGAAATACCTCTGCGTATTATGAACAGAGCTGGCAAGAATTTAAAGAAAATGTTCTAAAGTTTTGAGGCCTTGTTACGTGTTTTTATTTACTTATGTTATTACTAGCTGACCCAGCGAACTTCGTACCGCCATAAAAATAGGGACTGGTGGTAGAAAGGTGAAAATTTAGGATTGTATGTATTTTTATTGGCACATTATAAACAAATAAAAAATAAAATTTGAAGTATTTATTGCTTTTTCGAAGAACATTTTGATTTATTACTCAACTATTTATTCCGCCTAGTGTTACCCGCGGTTTATTAGGGATATTTTCCTGCAGTAAAATATGTGTTAAGCCAGCCTATGTGTTGATCCAGGTTGTCAGCTAACTCCCTAAAATAATATGTATGTAGTAACGTTGATAATACTGCAATAAAGTTAGTTTTATTAAATTGAAGTGTATTTGTAAAATTATAACCAGTACCCTTAGCACAAACCCAAATCGAATTCGTAACGTTTGCGAGTCCGAAATGTCATTGTCAAATCTGTACTGATTTTTAGTTCTCGTTACGTACTTTGTGCCGCTGCTGTTCAAGTTTCTATACAAAATTTGACATTGACATTTCGGTTTGCAAACTATTCCAATTAGATAATGGTTCGTGCTAGGGGTACTGGTAAAATGTTAGTATTTACAAATCGGCTTTAACTTTAGCATCTTTTCCCTGCCAAACAAGCTTTCTCTATATGTAATTTAATAAAAATTTCTGTCTACGCAGACATTATTTAAAATTGCAAAGCTCTGTTGGGTACAGGGCTATTTTTCCACGACCTCATAAGTAGTTGTGACCTAGAGAGTTAGTTCTATAGACTGCAGGCTGCTGCCTTTCCGACCGGTTCAGGCACTATATGTTAGGCTCAACGCAAACAAGCCGACCGCATGCTATTGCTCGCGCAAAA